GAAGAGAAGAAAAAAAAGAGATAGAGACAAAAGAAGAAGAAAACACAAATTATGTTCAACAGTTTTTGAAGTGTCATATATATATATATATATATATATATGACTCGGCCGAACCTGACCTGAAGCAATGACCAGCTAAGACTTCCTCCTTCGTATTTCAAACCAGATAACATATCATGCTGCAACCTCATATCTATGCTACCATGTCAGATTACTATTTAGGCACATACACCCACTTCAGAAAACTACAAAGAGGAAAGAAAGCTCAGCCATTATATGGTTCAACAGTTTCAGAGAGCTGCCAACAATAGGTTTGAAAATTTCCAGAAGAAAAGAAGCCCTTACTATTTCTTATTCAATATATCTATTGACTGTGGAGATTGTAATGCAAAATGTGGTTTATCAAGGAAACATGGGAACAAGGGAGATCAAACTCCTGACAGCCCTTAAAGCCTCATAAAGTCGAAGCATCTATCCAAACCTTTGGTCAGGAGGAAGCTATTGGTGGTTAGATGTAATTGATTTCAAGTTTAATCAGCAGAAACAGAAGCATACTGATGCAACCCAGTTCAGATTACATTTAACAACTGGGTTAAGGTCTATCTGATATAATCTTTGTCGAAAGTGATTTGGTTCATGTTGAGTTCTATTGGTTGACTTGATAAGTTAATTTTCGATATGTTTTATGGGACAATTGGGTTTGTTTCAGTCAAGTGACAAGTATTCTTTTATTAGTCAGTACATATAAGTAGAGCTTTAACTAGAGTCATGTTCATGAACAGAATTGTCAGCTGAATTAGTTTGTGTAGCCAAATGTTGTTTTCCTTTTGCTAGCTGCAAGTCTCAGACTCTCAAAAGTGAAAACAAGTCAAGCCAGCAATAAACATTTTAACAGTGGGGGTTCAGTCAATAGAAGTTGGTTCCTTATGGTACTTATGCACATATAAAAAAGATTCCCTCCTAGATGCAGACATTTCGCTCGCTGTCCTCTGCTACGCTACTTCCTTCCTCTAATCTGCCTCATTTCTTTCTTGGCACCACAATTTTACTTAACCTTACTGTGAAAACAAATCTATTGTTGCTTATCCTTTATTATCAATCTAATAAGGTTAGGACTTTATCTAAAACTTATATGCTCCAGAATACCAAGACTATGCCAAATTATAATTATGTAATTTATGAAAACCAGGAAACCTAATTACATACAACCACATAGGTAATTAGTAGATCTGATATTTTACTAAGGACCCTAGACGCAAGCTTCATACAGAGCAAAAATTAAAGCAGTAACTATTGATCAAAGGATTTCTAGACAAGAACCAAAAAATGTATAAAATATATTACTAGAGGCAGGGTAATTAATAGTCTTAAAAGCTCCTAGCAAGTCATCCTCTATGCTTCTGACCTAGAACTTTAATAATGATAACTTGGTCTAGAAATTGAGTTAAAGGTCCAATAGAAGATTTCAGCACTAATATGAAGAAGACAAACAAGAAATACATTTGAAACAGAAAATAAGAAAGCAAATTTCCAATAAGGGTTCTATAATGAACATCTGGAAAAAAAATGTAGAAGATGTTTTATGTGCTATACAAAAACTTTAAAATAAAAACATATTCAGTCTTATTCTGAAATAGTAAAATTGTTTTAGATTCTTTATGATCCATATGTGGAGTCCATAACAAAAGAAATATAGTAGACTGTCAGAAGTAGTAGAAATCATTGATGAATAAAAAAGGAACACTTGAGTACAATAATTTGATGATTGAAACACAACTAGAAAAAGTAAAACTCACCAACTTATTATGGTCTGCTTCATAACCAAAATTTGTCTGGCTGCGATTGTGGGCATAACAAGTAATTTCTTAATCAGACACCCCAAGTAAAGCTATAAAACTGTAAGTTACATTTAGATACTCTTTTCAATCTTTTATACACTAGACTAGATGAAGGAATATATAGTATTAACAATGTATCTAGCATGTTCATAGATATAAGTAGCAAATCTGTGCTTAAAGTCATGTGCCATAACCTTTGTGTAGAGGGATAACCACTCAAGCTGTAAGCAGAATTAACCATTCCAGACATGTGAATGTTGCTTCCAGAACCTGCTAGTGTGAAGAATGTGCCAAACATGTGCAAAGTGAGCTTTGGAGGAAGGTGCTTCCATGTGAGTAATTATTGCAAGCTATCAAGATAAAATAGCTAAACAAAAATCAGAAAGGTCAGTGACCTAAAAAAGAATCCACTGAAGTAGGCCAATCTCACCAGTCCTGAATTCTGCTTTAATAGGTATTGTTTCAAAATACAGGTAGTCTGCTGCCTACTAGAAGATATGGATAAATTGATATGGTAAACATAATAACTACTTTTAGTTACCAGTACCAGGTGCTTTAACATGCAAGGAATGGGTGGTATTACCAGAATCAGGAAAGCCTCTTAAATATGCACCAGGTCCTCTAACTCGTTTATCAGAAGAATAAGGTACACCATCATCTGCTTATCAAAAATATAATAAGTCCAAGTTTGAAAAGAAAGAAAGTTCTGTAATAGGAAGTCAGGAACTCAAGTCATCATGAAAGTTATTAATTAATATGCTAAGTTACACAAAAGAAAGATAACAGACGGTAAAACAAAATTGCGCACCTGTTCTTGAACGTTTTGACCTGGAGTTAGACTTTGCAAGGTCAATGTATAGAGTTGATTCCCTCTCAAGGTCAAACATCAGTCCCTACCAGCAGCATTTGATTTCATGATATGTGAGAGAGGTTACTCAAACATGGTAATAAATAGACCCAAAGAATTTATATTTGAGATAATATGGTGATTCTGATCTATGAAAATGTTTACCAGTTTGCAGCATTTAGAAATTATTTCTTAAGGTTCAAACTTCACTGAGCATACAAATCTCAAAGCATCAAACTGCATAATGCATGTTAGACCAAGTAGATCATACCAATGTTCCAAAAATTGGCAGCAGCATGTGAGTCAACAGGAAGTCTACACAATTAAAGAACTAACGGGTATTTAAGAATTGAAGGCGTTTAAGAAGCTATTTAAGTGAAAACTTATAAGAACTACATCGAGTCAACATGATTAAAGATCATGGACAATGCTTTGTAATATTGTAATATAATACAAGTAGAAACAATAATCATCAAGGATAAAAACCAAACCACATAAGACTATTTTTTATGGTTATGTTGACCATGCAAGTATATGCCAATATCATGTGTGATGACATTCCATGCTCATGTGTATTGTAAATATTTCCACATGTGGATATTTCACACTTTTGAGGCCCATAGGCCTTATGAGAAACAGTCATATTATCACATCAACACATGTGACTGCATATGCAGCCACATAAACCTTTTCTAGAATATTTAACTATAACATAATAGGTTCTTATGTTTCAATGTGATTAACATACAAAATATTCAAGTTTTGCAAGATGTACTTGCAATCAGAAATGACATCACCATTAACAATCTAACGCATTCACCTTCTTTTGGTTACCTACAAAAGGCTGTCAAACAATTCCAGCAATATACTTGCTCCTACAAAGCACAACCATGGATGTCATCTATAGGCATCTGGCTCAAAAACTAACTTGCAGAATAATATGACATGGATTAGCCTACATGTATGCTCCAGATTATACATGCAAGGAATGGTAAACTAAAGAAGATCTTGGTGGTAGAGAAGTAACTGTCCTGTGACAAACAAAAGCTGGTTTCTTAATTGCAAGCTTCATATATGCTAGACCTAGAGGATTTCCATAACCAGTTCTTCATGAGAAGATTAACTGAATCAAAGTGGAGAAAATCTTGCAAAATATTGGGTTGATGTGTAAGAAGTGAGCAAAGTCAACATTATTATCTCCACAAAATCTATTATATATCTAATTTGTTATAAGTTCTCAAAGTTGACATTATTATCAAAATCAACATTATTATCTATTACACATCATTCAACAATTTTTATAAGTTCTCAGCACCAATTTAGAATCCTTATTTAGGATTGGTGACTATTAAAAGCAACTCAGATAAAAATAATAACTGCAAATCAGAATTTTAATTTCGTACATTTAGAGCATGCATTGCAGCAAGAGCTGATTGTTGATCAGTAAAGACAGCAAATGCATATGCCTGCAGCGTAGAAAACACAAATTAGTATCCATTAACAATCACATACAATAATATTAAGTGCAATATAAAAACATCAAAAGGGACCCATTACAGAATGCCATTTTACTCACATCATGGAGAAAAAATGGAATGACCAACCACCAAATTTAGCTTCACTTGTTAATGTTCTTATACCACTCATAGCAAACATATATGAGAGTTTTGGCTGTCTACTATGAGCTGCATGGATTTTATAATAAAAAATGTAAGATCCAAATGTGTCTTAAAGATTCTGAGATTCTGAATTTGGCAATGATCTACTCTATATAGGATATCTAATAATATTGATAAACAATAACACCTAGCATAGTAATGCATAACTTCCATTATTGTTCTTAAAGAACACCTGTCTACGGACTGGCCTACACTAAAGTAGGCTGCACACCATTTAGCTTAATAAACCGACCATGGCATAGAACATACATGTTTAAATTTGATGTCACATATAGAAGAGTGTGCTTACGATAAATGTTTGAGTCACATAAAGAGCAAGCCTTTGGGGAATTGGTAATGTTGCTCCTAAAAACTAGGTTACCAAGGTTCATTGCAGAAATAGTCTCTTTACCTATAAGGGTAAGACTGGATATATATTGACCCTCCTGGACTCCATATTGGTCGGATTCTTGTGTACTACGTCGCTCTGTTGATAGTATAACAACTTATTTCAATGACAATCACTCATTTAAAATTAATTCTGATCCTGTATATATATATATATATATATATATATATATATATATTGTTGTCATAAATTATCACCAAGCTTAATATTATGTATTCATCATCAATACATTTCCACTTCAAAGCAAAGTTCTGAATATCATACCATATTGGTGTATCGATCAGCTATTAATATGATACGTATCGAGTTGTACCGAACTATACCGAGTATACCGATACACGGTACACTAAGGAGTACCGATATACTGCCCGTACCAGTCCTCTATTAGACTGGTGCATACCGCCATACCGAACAGCACAGTTTGGTATTGCAAACCATGCTTCAAAGTACGATGAAAATTTTGCACTATCAATGAAATAGTCTCTTTAGGTTGCCTATATAGATCTTCTTATAGACTCCATATTGGTGTGAGACTAGTGACCTGTGCTGCCCGTCTTACAAAATAACAGCTTATTGCAATCATAATCACTCTTATTTAAAAAATGATGTGTATGTTTCCACTCAAAGAACCACGCATTTTCACTGCGTTGTTATGAATCAAGGAAATAATCCGTATTATTCTCCATCGATTTACATTAGTACTCCAAAAGAAGTTCCATAAGATAGCTTTCACATACATTGAGCTGAATTGAACACTGTCACTTACAGGCGGTCTCCAAGCAAAAAGATCAACTGCCAGATTCTCAAAACCAAAAGCAAAACAATCTAAAGAATCAAATTTTCTCTTATATTTTGAATAATTCCAAGAAAGAAGACCTAATACCACTTCAAAACCCTAACTTTAGGAGTTTCCAAAACCTAACCAGGTCATACGAAAACTAAGCAAGAAGAAGGATGTAGGACAGCAATCTAAAGGAAAAAGGAGGAAGAATAAGAATAATCGCACCTGAGAGGACTGACCGGAGCTCCTGAGCTGGGCGGACTGGTACCCAGGAAACTCGCGAAAGAGGTTATAGATCTCGCGGGGCTTCACGTCGTCGGGGAACCCGGCGATGAATAAGGTCCGGACCTCGTCGCGCGAGTACTGGTCGGTGGGCGTGTCGTAGGTGGTGCCGTAAAGTGGCGGCTGGTGGGCGGGGTACGGCGGGTGAAAGTGGTGCTGGTGCGGCAGCATCGGGTGATTGTGCGGCGGCGGAGGAGCTCCGGGAGGCCCCGCCGCGTGGATCGGCGGCGGAGGGTGGTAGGGGTTGTGGGCGGCGTCCGGGGGTGAGTGGTAGTAACCGGTGGCCATGTCGTCCATCGATACCGCCCGTCGAAACGTTTGCGGTGGTGACGATTAGCAACCGTGCTCAATATGAGCATATGTTTAAACGGGTCGGATTTATTCTCATCCAAATCCGATAACCAACTTGCACATCTTACCCAAACCCGTGAAAAGTTTCCTGTCAGTAGAAACCAATCACAAAATAACAATGTTTCTTTTATATATATATATATATAAATATATATATATATATACTGACAAAGAAAAAGACGATGATGGATCCCACAAAAGAAAAAGGGAGGAACGATAGACAAAAACGATACAAGAAGGTGAGAGCGATGATACGAGCAAAAGCGATAACCGATCTAATAGAGACAAAGGTAAAAAAGAAAATAGAGTTTTCACGCGTTGCGTTCTCTAGGAATTTACCAAATTTAGAGATTTTTTTGAGAATATATATATAGTCCCTTTTAATATTTTGCTCATCATAACAATTAAATAACGGGCTTTATAGCATTTAAAGATCAATGTTAAGTGACGAAACTAACAACCAAATGTACATGCAATTTTTGAGGGATTTGATCAAATTGGTGTATAGGTGTTTGCAGGTTCAATTATCTACATATGCCCTGTCTTTTATGTGTCTTGAAAAATACACCAGCTTTAGCCAATTATTCTATGAAAATGACAAGAACAAGCTAATCTTTCAACTTGAATTCTGCTTGTGTTTCTTAAGATCTAAATCAAAAACTGTAACCATATAATGTTAAGACATGATCATAAAAATACAAGAACAATATGGCACAGGACTTGCTAGTTTAACATCATTGCACAAGTAATCACAGCCCAGTTCTTCATGCAGCAAATTGAACACAAACACTTCCCAAAGACACAGAAAAGGCCTCCATCGATTGCCTTTGGAGGTCAAACCTTTGTTCTATGATGAACTATTGAGTGTGTCTGTGCAGGCTCATGCTAAGGTTGGGCTCGACTGTCTGACACTAGTAGAGAGCTGACCACCCAAAAGAGCATCAGTTAATCATGGCAGTTCATCTCCTATATTCTATGTTCATCTTCAAAGACATCATGGTACAGCAAATGCTTGATGCATGTTATCCAAGAATAGAGATATAGTTCGCACATTCCACAAGGAAAAGTTGTCTTATGGAGGATTGTTAGGCTAAGAGATGCAGAGGAAGGTGAAGAAGAAGACCAAGGATTTGGGAAACAAGAGATTAGTTTGTTGGAGATTGGAGATCATCTTTCTGGATGTTGCTTGTGACCAGCATTGCAGTTTCTGGTGTCGTATATCATGAGAACATTGCGTTCAGAAACAAAGCATGACAAGAGGAAAAAGGGAAAGCAGAAAAGAAAAGAAGAGAAAGACCAGCACGGAAAGCACAGCTCGAGCAGTCTCCTCCACCTGCTACTGCATGTTGACAAAGGAAAAGAATGCACTGCAACAAAAGAAGCTCCACTTTCCTATGGGCTTCAAAAGAAGCTGTGAGAAAAAAGGAAGTCAAGAAACATGGCTCAACATGAGGGCAAAGTGAGACAGCCAAGCTAACGATCAAAGAAGAAAGAAAGAACGGTGGTCTTAATTCTCTGTAGATGCTATTCAATCTGCATGCTTCCATTCTGGGCGCAGTGGGAAGAGCTCCAAGGTCTGATCACCTGGTCCACTCCCTTCCACGTCCAGCTCATGGCGGCCCCAGCTCCTGCACTTGCGCTTGCAGCTGCCGTCATGGCACTCCCTCATTTCTTCTTCCTGTAATTCATCACCACCATGCATGACCATCACCGAAGTAACATGATCGCACGAAGTGATCAGGAGAGAACTTAATGATTCGTACTTTGAGACTGGAGAGATCAGAAGCAGTGTTGGTGGCAAGGGCGAGGAGCGAGCTGCGCTTTAGCTTCTGCCGATCGC